TCAGCAGGAGGCATAGGCAGGACACAAGCAGCAATGACTGACCGACCCGATGATGTGGCGTTATGCTGTGAGTAGGGGTCTTGGGTGCCACCACAGTGAGTACCGAGCCAGTAACTGCAGCTCCTTGTCATACAGAATTTGCCTTGAGCCCAAGCTTTGGTTTGGGCTGGTTGCTCCTGCCCCAGCTTGGGAAATGGAGCTCTGGCAGGCTCCTGCCTGGTGGGAGGCAGGACAGCTCCTCAGCACCTCCCACTCCAGTCCCAGCCGAGAGGGAAAGGCAAGAAATGTTTCTTAAAGTATATGTTTATTTTAATTTTTTTGTTCATATTCCATCCATTCTTAACTGTGGTGCATCTGCCACCAGCCAAATCCCCTCTCCATGAGAAGAAAATAAAAACAAGACAGTTGTCTGGAGGTGCCACATGTTTATTAGTCCATTCTAAAAACAAAAAAAAGGATTACAGCATTTTTATCTTGCTGTAGTACAGAATAAATAAAGCCATAAAAATAAAAACATGTGCTTAGATATTTTTATACTGCTTCTACAAAGAGTTATATCTGCAAATAGAAAAATATAAGAACCCTTGTTTATTCATGGCTCAGTGGTTATCAGAGAGGGATGAACCTGGAAAAGAAACCAGGAGGACTTCTCTTGAGTGTGACTGCCAATGCCAGGAGCAGCCTCGCAAACCAAACCGTGTGAGGAGGAACGATAACAAATCGAGAGCACCCAATTAATCTTCCCCTTTCACTCTCCTCTCCCCTGAAAAAAACCACAATCTGACATTCCCAGTGGATGTCAGGAAAACCTTTCCTGCAGGAGGACAGTCAAGCAGTGGGCCAGGCTGTGCAGAGAGGTGGTGCAGTCACCACTATAGACTTGGTGTCCAGGGAGCAGGTCCCAACTCCTGCTGTGCCCGGATGAGGCCCTTCAGAGGATCCCATCAGGAGCATCCCACCTGGGGAACCGTGCCCGCGGGTAAGCAGGCGGCTGGCAGCACCCACGAGACACGTGTGAGGCCGTTGGTGTTTCCTTTGCTGGAGTGTGAGATCCTAAAAGGTAAAAAAAGAACCCCCTAGGTTGTTGGGAGGAGGACAACTGCTGTGCCTTGGCAAACAGCTGACCCAGGTACAAAAGGTCCGAGGTTTAGATTGTTCTGTAGCTTATGTTTTGTTAAAAAAAAAGAAAAAAAAGATAATTATTTCTGTCCTACTACTCCCAACTTGGCAGAGAGGTGTCCAGTCTGCTGTAAACTCCTGCTGCTGAGCCACACCATCCTGCAGCAGTTGGTTTGATCAGCAAAAAAACTGACCTGAAGGTCAGCTGTGAAAATTGAATTTGTAGTCGTACTGTGCAGGGCACCTTTCATTTCTACATTCGGCCAAACCGAGGGCATGTGAGCGAGCAACAGGAACAGGGGAAAACATTTCTCATTAGATACCAGCCAGGCAGAAATGTGCAACGCCTCTGTGCCAGAGGGAACAGAAAACAAGCAGTCCTAAATTACACACACTCACCCCAACAGGCACAGCACCTTAACCACAGCTGCAGCCCCTCCTGAGCCCAGTCCCGCTCAGCTGGGAGTCCTCCTCAGCAACAATATCTGATCAGAGTCACAGAGACAATGTCTGACTTGAGTCCATCTGACAGTCACAGAGAATCCTGGCTCCTCCAAAAAAGGTTCAAGCAAAGCTGTTTCTCTCTCTTTCCAAGTTCTGGTTTACATGGACACAGTGGTGCAGAAAACAACAGGTCCAGCTCTGGTCACTGACAGAAGGTCTGTTCTGGACAGTCACATCAGTTCAACGGCCTCGTGTTCCCCATTTTCTTGCTGTACCATACAGCCGACTTTATTGTTGAAGAGACGAGACAGGCTTCCCTTCTGCGAGCTCCTGCCCTGGGCAGACCTCTCCTTCTTCAAACGCCGCTTATTTCTCTTGCATATTCCCCGGATGTCCCAAATCCTTAGTGTGCCATCGTGGGAAGCTGTGTAGAGCAACTCATTGTGGATCTGGAACAACAGGGTCACATTTAATCCTAAAGCGTACAGCTCAGATTTGGCACAATCAAACTGTCAAAAACCCGAGCAGACACAGCTTGATCCTAACGCTGACGGCCTGAAAGCTCATTGCAAGAGCCGGTATAAATTATCACAAAAGCTGCTGAAGTGGGATGAGACGTTACCGAGTCAGGACTCATTTCTCAGCCACTTCACAGAGCCATAAAATATAAACAGCGAGAGTTATTTATAACCTAAACACACCAGAAAAGCAATGGGGAACTAAACTCCATCTCAGAGTAGGCTGTAGCTGGGAATTTCTGTGCTGGTTTCAAAGATGAAGCTTAAGGAGGCACAAAAATCAGTGGGCAGTGGGGGGTTCAGGAATGTTCTCCTCACTTCCCTTCTTCCTTTGCAGGAATTTCTGGGTACAATTCCTTCTTCAAATATTGTTATTCTTCCAAACTTGCAGTAATTTAACCTTGATTCCCCCGTGTTGTTTCATTTCCTTAGTGAAACTTTTGCTGCTGTTGGTAACGTTCCCAATTCTCCTCACCCCACCCTAGAAGGAAGCCGTGGGTCTTGATCATCTTCCCCTTCCTCTGTCAGTCTGTCCACCACAGGCCCTCGCAGTCTCCAGAGAGGGGCTGTGATGGTGAGCATCCCACCGGCAGCCTGGCTTCCATCGGCATAAAGCACCCACACCCACAGCCCCAACATCCCCCATCCATCCTTCATTAATTTACTGCTGATCATATTAAGGTCACCACTTCTCAGCCCTCTTCCCAGGATTTTTTGCCCTGTACACTTGGAAATGAAATTACAAAACAAGGAAATATACAAAGCCAAGCTTTGGTCTTGTCAAATAATTAAGAGCTACAGAGAGTGATTATGTCAATTAACACCCCAATACACCCCAGGTGACCATCTGCTATACAACCAATTGATCAATACCCAAGAGTTTGCAGTTTAAGACCAACTGGCCACTTGCTAATTCCAAAAAATATACAAAAGACAAACCACATTTACAACTCTCTACCCTTGAGATCAACTCCAAAAGGAATTTTATCTCCTCTCTTTTCTCTTCTGACTGTCAGCCTGCCAGAAACACTTACAGTGTCTCACGTTCTTAATCATACCCTCATCCTGCGTGCAGCTTTTACCGAGATCCTGATGCAGGGAGATGTGGATTCTTAAATGTACAAAGCATCCAAGGATTCAAACTTTTCCCGAGGATTCCTTGCCTGATACTGGTCTTTGCATCGCCAGCAAGGATTTCTGATCCTCAGAGACTTTTTAACTTTTAAATGCCACTATCACTTGAGCCTAGACAACATGCAAGCAATTTTTCAGGGACTTGATTAACTTTTAGAAATTTTTTAAGCCAGTGGTGGAGGCTCTTCCATTTGTCCAACAGAATGTGGGTCAGACATCACCACAGAGCCTCTCTGTCATCTTTATAGCTTCAGAAAAATAGATCCTGACAGCAATATTTTATGTAGTTTATACACAGGGTAGCACATGGAAGTCACCCCAGCTCTTCACTAAGGTCAGGAGGGATGGTAAGCAGTTGCTGGACTGTTGAGGGATGCCATGCCCTAGGGGTAGGGGTACAATGATAGATATTATCCTGCTTGGATAAGGCGGAAACTTGTTTTCCCCCTAGAGCACAGCAAACACTTCTCCTCAGTGTCTTGTAATGGAAGGGGTCTCACAAGGCTAGAGTCCATTCCCTGCCCCAACACAGGATCAGTGACATCCGTCTCCTTTCTTCTGGTTCCTTGTCTAACCTGACCTGAAAAACCTCCCGTCAGACACAGGACTGTCTCTGGGGACTCGTTCTGTGGTTTCGCTTATCCTTATTATTATCAAGTTTTCCTAAAATTACCTAAGGAATATTCAAGTCTGCTACATTTTGTCTTATCCTAGAACAACAGCCAAGCCAAGACACACACAACAGCCAGCCACACCAATTCCCTCAAAACAAATGAGGGAGTGACCAGTAGTAACTTCCTGACCTGGATGCAGTTGATGATGAACTTGTGTCCTCGGAAGATCTTCTGCAGGACACCACTCTTGGAATTGAAAGCTCTTGCACAGGCATCACCACTTCCTGTGAACACTGCAAGGCAAGCACACAACACAGCCCATGGTCAGATGTGAGCAGCCACGTAAGGTCAGTTCACGTGAGTTCAAAAACGTGCCTAAAACCAGCTGACAAAGGAGCATGACATCGCATTGTTGGGCTTGATTCTCTGCTCAATTATAGCAAGTTCCAGTTATTTTCATTTCCCTGACCCCAGCATGCTTGTCTTCATTCGCATTTCTCAAAACACTGAACTGCCTTAAGCCTGAAGTTCCTACATCCATCAGCATTTCACTCCACACACACTTCAAACACCTATTTCTGCTCTTCCCTTCCACATATATTTCCCTGCCTAAACATGCCTCAATAATTCAAAGCAAGCTATTTATCTCCAGTCTGGTTTTAAGGATTTCCACCAAGCCTTCCATTTGTTTTACCAGTTATTTTCAGGTTTCCATTCAGTACTATAATATCTTCACTACTTCTACTGCAGCATCAAGCAGCAGAAGCATCTGTACAGTGAAGCTGCAAACCACAGGAATGGCATTACTCTCTCTTATACTAATTATATTAATTTGGCCTTAGCTTCATTAAATCATACTGGTTTTCCCCCCATTTTCAGGCATAAGCTCACTATCAATAGATACAGCCATTTCTGTTGAAATACAACAGTTAAATCTTCTGTCCTCCGAGGTGAGCAGCGTGTGTAGGCAGCTTTACAAAGAAGCTTTATAAATTCTTTCAGTGGGGTAGATTTCTTCAGCTAAATGCTCTAGTTTAGGATCTTTGCGAGCAGCAGAGCATTTAAGTGATATATTTAAGAAGTATTTGAGGGTTTTGGCTGTAACTCTTGTATTCTGTGCTACAAGGGCAGGATGGTGGTTGTTAGGTTGTTGTTTGGTTTGGTTTTGGTTTTCTTTTTTAAGTAAATTAAGCATGACCAGGGATTTTGGCTGTTCATCAGGTTTCCTTAGGGTATTCTAACATGTTCAACGCTTCAGGATCTTCACATCAGATCCTCAGAACTGCTGCATCCAGAAACTGTAAAGCAGTGTGGAATATGTAGATTTTCTACTTAGCAATATGCCCAGAAAGGAGCACATCTGTGTGTTTTAAGGGTTATAAACTGTCTTCATAAACACTCACTTTCCTTCACTTACCCCCAAACTCCTCCAGTGTATCAAGAGATAAATATTTCAGAACTGCAAAAAGCAATATATCCACTGCTCCCTGTATTTCAGGTCTTTCCAAAAGCCTTTACCATGGAAATATTTTTACAAAACTGAGGTGCCTGAAGACAACAGATACCTTATCTTTTGGGAGAAGTCAGGCACCGGGTTCCTAAAGAGAGGTGAAGAAATTATCAAGGTGTAAAGAGACAAGAGAACAGGCTACCTACTGCCATCAGCTTTTCAACTTCACATTAAACAGGAGGAAGCTGGGTATTTCCTGGGTACACCTTCAAGAAACATCTGGATGTGGAAAATCAATGTCATTTTATATGGGCCGCTATAAATTCAATTGCCAACACAATCCTGAAAAAGCACTGCGTCCCATTCTGCAAGTGGGTAACAATGATGGAAAGAGATTTTCTTTCTAGAGAATGGAAATAACTTAACACTGTTACACACATGCAGAGAGTAGGAGCCAATTAAGGGCTGTTTTCACTGTGCAGCTGTCAGATTACTTTAGCTGTCACTATTGGGATTTTGCTTTTGACAGGCATCCTTTATATCTTTTGAACTGCCACTCTAGATTTAGGAAGTCTCTTTGCACCTCTGAGTTTCAAAGGGGAGCTGTTGATCTAACCCAGATTTAGTATTTAAATATATGCTTATATATACACCACCCATGAAACCAACAAACAACAACAAAAAAGAAAATCAACAATTCATTTTTATTTTTCACTTAAATTTCACAGACCCTTGGGAGGGAGAACAGGTTTTAAACATTCCCTTGGAGTTTTTGCAACATGAAAAAATATAAACAGCATTAAATTTTAAATGACTGTGCATATACTGTAGGAGAGAAATAACCAACGTAATATCATTAAATAAATTAGATTGAGAACCAGCTTTAATATTCCCCATGCTATTAATTACACAAGCAGACTGAGGAAAGCCACTAGAAACACATTCTGATGATTTAAAGCTTAGTTCTCAGATCTGTCTGGACTCCTTGTGCACTATAAAGGCATTTTGGAAACACACATATTTTTCCTCTCATTCATCTACTATATTTTCATATTTAGACCATAAATTTTGGGGGGCAATGAGCCTTTGGGTACTGACCAGATAGCAAGCAACAGAATTAAGATCTTCTAACAGAAAGTTACCACTTCTCAGCTGAGATTCTTTCCATGTTCTTGCATTGGTGCAAATGTGACATAAACTATAATAAATACTATATATATTGAAGTATTTTCTCTACATTTTTGAAAGACAGAGAATGGACACACAATGCTGATCTGTTCCAGGGGAACAGCCAGAATTTTAAGCTACAGTAGTTCCAACACTTGGTATCTGGTGAACATGCCTTTGATCACTTATGTAAAAGTTTTGTTTCAATTAGAATTGCAATGTATTACGATAAAGTAAGCAATCATAGGATATAAGTTCATTTTTAAGGGGAAATTTCCTCTTTCAAGAACTAAAATGTGTCTAAATTAAATTCAAACAGATCTCTAATATTTTTCCATGACATTTTTTCTACCCTTCAAGTGGAACAACTCAATTCTCCCTGTTTGACACTTCTAGTATTTTTGTATTTGATTTAAAATGAGATCTTAAATAACTCTGTGAACATTTCTATCACACTATCAGGATGTTCTTCACAGGTCTGACTAAATGCAGCAATATTGCCTGCATTTTAAGAAAAAAAGAGTGTTACGGAAAAATAATGTATGTGTATGGCAGGAACAGGGTGGTGGGATGAGGGGAAAGAGAGAAAGCTACAGAGTTGATGGGGGTGGCACCAGATAATAGAACTTTTGTTTGAGTCTAAACTTTCTTTATGATGGTTTTAGAGAATCTGGTCAAGTCTATACTGGCTGCATGAAAAGTAGGATCAACACTGAAAAAATGCAGCTCTGGAGGTCTCAGTAATGAAGGAGACGGTCTCTCCATCTCTCACCCAGACATGAAGATTCCTCACTTGATCAGGCCAACACCAGCTTAGCACAAGTTATTGCACCTTTGTGTAGTCTTGATAAATTCCATGGGGGTTTTTTTGTTTTGTTTTGTATTTTTAATAATTAAAAAGGAGAAAGCACACACATACACAAAATAACCAGTATTTTGTTTGCCAGTGTTCATCCTGGATTAAAATTTCTGGTTCATTTTCCCTGCCCTACCTGCCTGTAAGTACAGAGTAAGCTCAGACCCTTCCCCCTCCATTTCAGCCTTCCAGCCAACGGCAAAAGCTGAGATGGGCAGAAATTACAACCTGCAGCTATGGGAGGGTGGGCTAGTTTTGCAATATAGCTGAAGAGAGCTGAAAGTAACCATAAACCACAATTAACTATTTTAATGGAGAAAACTAGTGCTGTGGGTCTAATGCTGAAAGGAAAACCAAATACAGGCTTCCTGATTAAGATCAAAATCTACCTATGGGCTTGGTTACATGTTAAGTTTCTAAACATAATTAAGAAATCAATTCAGTTCCTGGGTTATAAATGTGGTCAGTCAGTTGTGTCAAGCATGGTGCTAGAGAACTGCCATTAAACTGTAATCTGCCTGGGCAGGTACGACTCTCTTCTAATGTGTACCACCTTGCATTTGTCAGCCACTCATCACCATCCTACTGATGATCTGACAAAAAATATATCAAGGCCCAAATAGCAACCATTCATTTGGTGTTCGACGTCGGTTTCAGTGCTGAAGTACAGAAATTAAAATCAGAGAATTTCTAGATTAGAGAGAATTTCTAGATTAGTTTAAGACAGGCATTGCCATCCTGGTTACCCTGAAGGAGAAGTACTCATCTGGGAAGCAAATGAAGGCACATCAGGTCCGTCAGTGGCAGAATAAGACCAGGAGAGAATAAGACATATAGAGAGGGTCAGGCTGATAAAAAGAGAGGCAGAGCCTTGCAACCCAAACCCAGAAATGCACAGGTGACGTGCAGAAGGAAAGCCAACCAAGAGAGGGACTTAAAGAGAGAGATTTACTGGTCAGAACATACTTTTATGTTAACAACAGAGAGTTACGCAAAGATACCGCTATTAACAGGGGTGCTGACAGGAGGGGAACCGAGTCCCAAGCATTAGTAAGGCCAGCAACACCTGGCTACTGCAGAAAGGTGGTTTGGGGAACAAATACATGAAAGAGGATGGATAAAGGGAAAGAACTTGTGGAAAAGGCATCTAGGAGATGGTCAGTGCCTGAACAAGAAGCCTAGCAGTGAGCATCAGAGGTGTGACTGTGGTTAGGACAGTCTATTACACAGTACCTACAGGGTAACAGAGGCAAGCACAGGGCTGCAAGTACAGCTGCAGCACTTGCTGTCCCTGAGCACGCAGCAGGAGCAGACTGACAGACATCAGACTAGTGAGGTGAAGCCACAGCTATACAAACAACCCACAGACAGCTCAGGATTTCAGCCACTTCCCTCAGTAACAGAAATAAAGCAACTGCCTCTTCATCTGCCAGAAGAGGGAGGTGGAAAATGGAGGGAAGATCTAAGCTTCCCACATGGAGTAGTACAGCAAAGTTTGATACTGAACATAAACATCCTGGAGCTGAAAAAAGGGACAAGCCTTCAAAATTACAGCATTCTCTATTAACAACCTTTGATCAAAGACAAACATCGAAAAGGAGACAGGGGATTGCTGAACATAGGAAAGGCAACTTACAGATCCCAGCGTGGTATTTCAAAGTGCTAACGCTGTGTTTGTGAGCCTTGTACGTTTGGATTCGCTCCCCAGTGTCTACTAACCAGCACTTCACTGTCCTGTCCGCGCTTCCTGAATACAAGTGCCGATTCACTAGCTGAAGGGAAGAGAAAGAAACATCAGCAATAGTCTCTCAGGCACGTTGGTGAGAGAACTGCACTGAAGTGACTCATACAAAGTCACCGTTTCCGACTCAAAAACCTGTTATAAAAAGCAACGACTACACCTTGGAACAGAGGGATGGTGAGCAAAACCAACCTTGCATTCTTCACAATCGCATCTCCCATTGACTTCTGGGCCTTAAAAACAGCTCCCACATTTCAGAAGATGGAAAAGCTTATCCCATCTGCTGGTGCAAGCAGGTAGGATTTCAGTGAGCTTAACAATGCTAACCCTACTTCCATATTTAGTTCCATTAATACAGCCTCCAAAAAAACCCCTGCAGTGTAGTTTCTGCAAAGCAGATTTGACAAGAACTTTTATCAGATCGCAAGTTTTAATGACAACAAAAATTTCAGAACAATTTTGAAACAAAAGAACCCCAAAAAACTAAATTAAAAATTAAATTTAAAAGTAAATTGAAAATAAAATCCTATGCAACATAAACAAGGGTTTAACATGGTTACTCTGCACAAGGTCAGTATTTGGAAACACTAACTCCTCCTTGAAATTGTTTTGTATCTGTTTCCACAAGTCTTTTTAGACTGGTTATCAAATTATTAAATAATTAACTATCCTTACACAGGTCTCTAAATGTCTTCCATCAGATTGTCTTCTGCTGGGTGTTTAAAGGAACTCTGCCCATAAATCCCAAAGAAGAAGGGTGCTTCATCCCACTAGACACCCTGCACATCGTGTGAACTCACCAGTGGTGGAGGCTGGTTTTTATTGCATGTAGACACGACAGAGAATGCCAAGAGGAAAGATTGCAGTTGGGAAACCAAGACAGAGAGAAAATAATTGACCTGTGCAAAACTATAAAACCAAACAGCAACAAACTATCCAAAGCCTGGCAGCTCAGCAGGGAAACCCTCCACAGCACAGAGAAAAATGGTGCATTCTATGTCCATCTAACCAGCTAAAGGGTTTAACAGCCGTCATTATGTACAGCTCTGATTGCTCCTCCAAGCAGAGAACAGAGGCCTGTAGCAGCTCTGCTATGAGGACAGGCTGAGAGAGTTGGGGCTGTTCAGCCTGGAGAAGAGAAGGATCCAGGGAGACCTTCTAGTGGCCTCCCAGTACCTGAAGAACCTACAAAAAAGCTGTGGATGGACTTTTGACAAGGGCAGGGAGTGATAGAACAAGGGGAAATAGCTTTAAACTGGAAGAGGGGAGATGGAGATGAGATCTGAGGAGGAAATTCCTTCCTGTGAGGGTGGTGAGACACTGGCACAGGTTGCCCAGAGAAGCTGTGGCTGCTCCTCCCTGGAAGTGTTCAAGGCCAGGCTGGATGAGGCTTTGAGCAACCTGGTCTAGTGGAAGGTGTCCCTGCTGATGGCAGGGGGGTTGGAACTGGATGATCTTTAAGGTCCCTTCCAACCCAAACCATTCTATGACTCTATAACTGTCCCAACACCTGCCATCTGCAGTGACATGAAGGCAGCCAGTCATCACACGCTCTCATGGCAACACACGGGCTGTAGTTCAAGGTAAGTTTCATGGACTTGCAGCAAACTCTGCATAAAAAGGATGGAGAGACAGGAGGGAGAACCCTGACCCCCTGCAAAGAAATAGAATTTGCATAAGGACTAATGACATTTTGTTTGCCCTCCAGACACACAGATGAGAAGGTTCAAAGGACCAGGAGAGCACTAACCTCTCATGCTTCCCAGGTATCTCCAGGAAACCAACTGCAGAACAAATGACAAATCAACTTCACATGGGCCTTGCTCTTAGGTCACTTTTAAGGGTCTGGTTCTTCCACCACCTTATATTATTATAAATCTTTGGTCCCCGCTCTTTCCACAGAGGTTGGAACGTTTTTTCTCTCCCATCTCCACTCCCATTCCAAAAAGGAATCACCTTGTTCCCAAAAGGCATCATAAGTGAGCTTTGTGCAAAAACATTTGTGCTGTGTTACAACAACATGAAACAAAAGGTATTTTAAGATACAAAGCACTACAGTGATGGGACTGTGCTAACCCAGGAAAGAAATGCAGGCAGACCAAGATGACGACTGGATGCAGCTCTCACCAACCCAGTTGGTGCAGTGCATGCCATGCTTCTACCAGCACAACTTGGCCCACGGGACAGTTTTCACAGCTAAACATCAGGAGCCTGTAAAACACATACCACTGTTAAAAGCCAGCAGTGCTTTGAAATGTCACATCCTATTACCTTCAAGCTGTTTTAGCAATGGCATTAATACCACATCTCAATGAGGAAAGAGAAGGGGTGGCCAGCAGCACTAACAAAAACTGAGAGCTATGCAGTTAGCCTAAGGAAGGTAACTTAACTTTTAATTTCCAGGCTCAACCTGAATGGAGATGAAGAGCATTGTCATGTTGCACCTGCTAAATGGAAGAGGATGCTTTGAGTTAAGATCCTGCTGCATTGTTCTTGGCCAAGTCATTGCATTTATTTTTCAGACATCTTGCTAGCAGCACCACCCCACCCACTGAACAAAGGAGAACGCTGCGTTACAACCTCCTGCCACTCTGCATTAACGGCACATTGGATTACGCTGCGTCACTTCTACATTAAGTGGCTGTATAAATGCTGAAGTGAAACAGAAAAGCTGCAACTTGACTAGGTTTGCTAATTTGCTAGATATAAAAATGTGTTAAATGACGTGGGCTTACTCAGGTAGTTTATAGCACCGGGACTGTAACAGTCATAAAAGCTTCTGATGCTCAGTCAGAGCCAGCACACCAGCCATCTCCTTTAGATTCAAATCCTTTGTGCGACCCCAGCTGCCCTTCCTCTCCCTCCCCGGTTTAAGCAGTGAGCACAGCAGCAAAGGATTCTCAGCCATGCATGGGAACAGAAATACTAACAGGTTAAACAATCTACCTGATGCCACAGACTAAGCCTGCAGCACAGCCAACAGCAAAACCCAGTACAGGCTCTGGCTGTCACACAGCCTCTCATTTCCGTGATATTTTTAAAACACAGAGCACAAAATAGTTCTGAGTGGGGAAAGCCAGGAAGAGCTATGAGCTCAGGTTGAAGTTGCAAATCAGATCTGCCTTTAGTGATACGATGCAGGCATCATCTCATCCAAATTGATGTGGATATCCACAGCTAAGATAGTCCCCTTACAGTCACTGCAGTCTAGGGCACAATTCGTCTCATCCTGAAGCAGATGCTTGAAACAGATCATGCCTTGAAACTCACTATTTCTCCCCCCTGACAAGGACAACCTTCTCAGCTGTAGCCTTCTACATCAATTTAGGTGAGATGATGACTCCTTCACTTGACTAAAGATAGGTCTAGTTTACAACTCCATCCTAAGCTCCAATGCTTCAACTATTTAATCAAAATAACAATCATCATCACACACTGTTCCCCTAGCCAAAGCACCTTACAAGCAAGCTCCACGCTCTATGTAATATGAAATATAATATAATGTAATGTAACATGTAATATAAAATAAATACCTTCCTTACTTTATAGAGAGGGAATTATAATATAATGCAACTGAAACAGGCACTGGAACTGAAACAGGAGCACTGAAACAGGCTGCCCAGGGAGGTTGTGGAGTCTCCTTCTCTGGAGACATTCAAGACCCGCCTGGACGCCTTTCTATGTGATCTCATTTAGGTTCCTGCTCTGGCAGGGGGATCAGATTAGATGATCTTTCAAGGTCCCTTCCAATCCCTAACATTCTGTGTGTGATTCTGTGATTCTGTGAAGCCCATCCAAAAAAGGTCTTGTTGAAATTTATAGCATCTTAACTTTTAACTGCCTAAATCCCAGAGCGCAGCCCCGATTTGGGAGGCTGACCCAGGTTGCAACCATCCCTTTCTACAACACACAGGAATCATTACATGCTTCAGGGCACTTGAAACAAGCAAGAGTGCACAGTATCCCTGAAACTGGTCAGGAGAGTCTATGAAAACCAGATGGGATTCTGTCTGAGAAGAGCAAGGCCGTGGCACCGATCCCATCTGACCCATGTCAACTCAGTATTGTTACTCCAGAGCCTTCTTTCAGAGTTTACACCCAAAGGCTGTGGCTACACCCCAGTGACACAGACACGGCAGCCTTGGCTCTAACTCATCCAGGTTGGACACACCGTGCCCATGACCTCATGTTGGCTGGGCACCACAAGCCACCTTTGCTGTGGAAGCAGTGGAGGTCCACAGGTCAGCCAGCAGCACAGGTCCTTGGCTCCTGTAAACAGTTTTCTTCAGTCATGACTGTGTTGCAAACTATCTAAAAAGCCCAAGAAAGAGGGACTGTAACACAGTTTCGCTGCCCCACTTCCAGCCAGGTCCCCAAAGCCCTGGTTTCTAACAGGTCACCTTCTGCTGGCTCTCCCTGTAGGACCCTCACTAACCTCCTTACTCCAGCATGGCTTCTCCTGTCCAGCAGTTATGGGATTCTCCAAATGGGTTCAAATCTCCTCAGCCTGCAGAGGCCATTTAAACCAGATCAGTTCCGTTAGACGACTGGGCAAAACAGATTCTTGGGTTAAACACAGTTGCTGTTGCTTGGGTTAAACGGCCCCACTGACACATCAGGCTCAGCAGATCTGTCACATCTCAGGGAGTTGGACAAAATATACCAATTTCTTCACCAAAATGTGAGATCATGCTTCATGGGGGACTGGACTAGATGATCTTTCGAGGTCCCTTCCAATCCCTGACATTCTGTGATTCAGCTTCAGTGGGAGCTAAACCTCCCCACTGCCAAGACTGACACCCATTTTTGTCTATGGGCATCCATGCAGAGTTGTTCTCAGTAAATTTGTGGGCTAGGTCCCCAGGTCCATAACTACTGGGCTTTGCTAGCCCAAAGTCTCCAAACCTTTACCCAGTTCCCTAGGTCCCAATCTTATTCTTATTAAAGAATTTTAATTTTCTTATTATTTAGAAGGAAAAACGTAAAGTTTCACTCAACAGATTTTTCCAGATATACCCAAGTCTGTCAACT